CACTGATTTCATAAATCATCGTTTTTGATATAACATTCAGATTTGCTACATACATATCTCCTAGTTATTAGTTCATTCTAATGAATGCGCAGTATATGCCTTAACTCATATCAATAAAAAAGAAAACACGATTAGAATCCTTTGTGAAATTAATCCATTCAACAAACAAACTTTTTATTAATGGTTGCTCTAGCTGCTGATCGCTCACTCATATCTATATTGTTGTGCTTGTTTTGCTAATCTGATGATCGTTCGCTATTTATTAGCTTATCTTCCATTTCTCCTTCACAACATGTTAACTCACTTTCAATCTCTATCTGTGCTATCATCATCATCTCATCTATATACCTAAGTATAATATAATATCATAAAATATAATCTACAGTATATTTGTGCAGTATTTTGTGCTCTAAAATGAACAGAACAATCGCCACAATTACACTTGAGTTTCATTCAATCCACTTTATTGATATAACTGATAATATAATGGTTTTTCTCAGATCGAAAAGATCTAACGATAAACAAATCACACAATAATTGATAAGCAAGCATTTGACTGACTGCGTGCACCAGCGATACGAGTCAATAATTCGATTAAGGTGAGTTAGCAGTTAGCTGATAGCCTTTCTGCTCCTCTATGCCTGCTGATTAATATATCAATGCAATTGCATGAGTGCCGTGATTAAGCTATCAGTGCATTGCACTGTTGACAACAACCAAATATTTTTCGAATACGATAAGTTAGAACAAATTGTGAGCTATAAGGAAAGCATAAATCAGTGGTTCTCACGTTCGGGTGCTCCATTACCCCTTTTGATGATCTGACGAGCTAATGGTACTCAGAAAATAGAAGAATGAAGAATGTTGCCACCAACTAATCGCATTTTCAAAAAACATGGCGTTCTATCATGACATAAGTAATGCACTCTTATAGGAATACCGTTTTTAAGCTATCTGAACGCTCAAATCCGCTCCGTATCACAATGGTTTCTGTTCATCATCTGATTCAGCAGATTCTCTCCTTACATAATAGCGTATATATCGTCGACAGATAATGCCCATTTTCTTGGGTGTCACTGAATTGTCGGAGATTTAATGTGATTTGATTAAAATCTGATAAGATCTGATATGATCTTAAGAGTCTGATACTAAGGTCTGATCTTTGCGCCCAATTACGATAGAAAAACCTGAAAGGTGAGATGAAAATAAATGGAGTATTCGAAATCCATTAGTTAAATTTTCCAGAGAAGAAATTTTAAAATGCAAATTCGGGTAATAATAGTATTATTGTAATGTTATTATTAATAACAATAATAATAAAAATAATAGATATGAAGTTGACAGTGATTTAGTACAATAACTAAGAATATAATAGGTATTATGTATATGTAGACAAATATGCATATTTATTGATATATGTATATTTATAGTGCTGATGAGATTATGATGAAGATGATTACAAGAGGATTGAATGACGACGGCTAAGTTTACATACTATTACCATTAGTGAGTGAGTGGTGTTAGTTGAAGTTAAACATTGATTGAGTGCGACAGATTAGTGATTCTAGATGATGTTTTTATTGTGATGGATGTGATGAAGAGTAGCAGCGTTGCACATAGATAGGCTATGGGATCTGCGACTGAGTCAAGATTGTAATTCAAATGACGGAGGAATGAAATGGAGAGGATGCGTAGTTGAGTAGTTGATATTCGGAATCGAATGATTAAACAGATCGGATTTTGAGGATAATGAGGTTGTGAAAGGTTAAAAGCGGTAATAATGATGATGATATTTGATAGCGGTCAACAAATTTCTTCATTCCATCGCAAACAGGTACGTCTATTTCAACAAGAGTACTACTCCGTCTTACTGCTTGATTGATGGTGCTCACAAAGAACACAGCAAGCATTCTTCTAAAAGTACTTAACCATAAATATCATCATCATTATTGTAACAATACTGATAACCGAACTAAATGTTCAGTGCACACGAACAGCACAGATTTGATGAACGATTGGCTATCGGTTTGCGGGCTGACTCAAGAATCAATCTGATTCTTATTGAAACCATTTGCAGCAGTGCTAGAATCAATGAACCAATGATACAGTAGTCGAATGAGAACAGGCGTTCGTCTGCTCCGTCGTAATTCGGTCAGCACACTGACCGATCGTTTATTTCAATTATGCATTCCAAACAAACTATCACTTGGGCAATGTTCAATCATCACTAATCGCTGGAATGGATACTGTAGCTAGATAATGATAAAGTTGTTCATATTGCAAACTGAATGATTTAAGAGTTTGAAAAAAATTGTTGACTTGTTGAAGTGTGGCTAATCCACGAAATTGCAGGCGATAGTGGGATTCTGCAGAAGAATTATGAGTAGATCATTAACGAAAATAAAACGAATCAAAAACTTGGTGCTAGATATCAAATTCAGTTCCGCCACGTGGAGATGAGGTTCCAAAAATTCAGAAAATTTTAAAATCCCTTCGAATTTTCTTGCCTACTTCAGTGTATATAGCCATCAGTTTGCATGTCTACATTATAGTAGTGAGTGATCACGAACTGTCAATGAATATGATGCTATATGAATAAAACATCATTTGAGAGTGTTACTGTGTTGATGAATGAACAATGAAACTATGCAAATTCTGTTGTTGGTACACAGAGATGATAAAGTTTAGTGAAGAGGAATAACTTTTGAAGATATGCATTCTGATGTACACATACATATTTATTGCTAATTGCTCTTCATTGAATAGCAGCTTCTCATATTTTCTTAAGTGCTAATTGTGAAACTATTCGCGCATTTTTAAAATCGATCTCGTTGCTATTGATCTTGAGAACGGTAACTGCTGGCATATCTTACACAAAATAAATATATGAATATCAACAAGTATTATTATTATTATTTTATTTACATAAATAGCGTGCAAACAATTGCATCTATCAATTTTAGCAATTGTAAGTATTGCATAATATGCTATCATTATTGCTGTTTTTATGATGACTGAAGAAGCTGCAATTCAAATATGCAACAAAATATCATTAAATCATATATTGTTGATGCACAATAAATGCTGAATAATTGTTGGACAATCACTAACTTATAAACATTTTAAATTCATTGTTAAGGGATCGAATGACAGCAATATTCAATATTCTTTTCATTGATGGTTTCCAGTTTACGCTCGATCATTTAACAAAAAAGAAACTGCCATAGTATAGGTTAAGTAGAGAAACGCAACTTACAATTAACTTTCATTCCACTATTTCTTTAACGTTATTATTGTTATTTGCATAACTAATACTTGATCAGTGATTTCGTTTTTTTCAATGATGGCCAATAAAATCAGTAAGGACAAGTACAATTTTCGTCGAATTGAATCAGCATTGCAATTGCGATATTGATTCAATTCGACGAAAATAAGATGAAATTGATTGCGATAACATCAAACTGATTCAAGCATGACTAATATAATAAGTATGCCTATATAATATCATATATTGATACTGCATGATTTGTGATGTGTTTACGTATGTGATTAGCAAAAATCTAAGAAATATGCTAAAGGTATTAATAGAAACCACGGGCCTATCGTAAGGAAAAGGCAAAATTTGTGTGTAATATGCAATAATCGTAATATAGGATCAATCAATGGATGAACCCTTATAATAACGGTATAATGGATATGAATTAAATATTTACATAGATAATACTGTATTGTATAATAAGATAATAATTATTGTAATGGAATCAAGAAATGTAAGTATAAGATGCAATGAATGAAATGAATCTTCTTCATTTCGGTTAATAATGTCTCGAAATGTTTGTATAAGAAACGACAGTATTGTATATCATCATCACCATCGATATTCTATATTGTATAGGCAAGTATAAGACATATTACATTCATTTATTTATATATCATTAATGTGTACTGTATTGCGTTAGATTACTCTTGTCAAATTAGTTGACATCGTGGCATAATGGCTTTCGATTGATTCTGAAAGAATATCGTGAGAGCAGAGAAAGAAAGGCTCTCATTTTGGTGAGAAACATTGAATGGAATAAATTGAAAGAATCGCTTAGATATGCCCGTAAACAATAGGTTAGAGATGAAAAGAGTTTGAAAGAATTCAGATATGATGAGGGAAGAGGACGATGCAGACGAGGCTAACAGTAATCGAGAATTACTGAACTCAAGAAAATAGTAATGGCTCAAGGTATATAAGAAGAAGAATTCAAGAAAGAAATCTTCTCCTGAAGTGCTTTCTTGGATTATTAACGTGCACTTGCTATCCGTAATACTTCTACTTTGCTACTAATTGAGTAATTGAAATAAATCTTTCTAATTGCTCCCCTCCCCTTTCCCACCCGGCCGTCCGCCTCTTTTTGATTGAATAATTATTATTATCCATTTTACTCAATTCTGCTTTTATTCAAAAGTTGGACCGTCTCATCCCGAGCTTGTGTTTGCATCTGAGCATCGAATAGTATTATTGTAGTTGTCATCAATTTTTTGTGTTCATCTTTAAATTAGTTCGACCGTTATTGATCATAATCATTTGTCACTCATTGTCAATGCGTCTTCTATAGATACGTCCAATTTGATCCATCAATTGCTTATCGTCCTCGAACAAAAAAGGCATCAATCGCCATCTGTCATCCAGACTTGTTTGTTCCCTATGCTTCTTTATACGGTTGCTTTGACATCATAAGTTCACTTAATAGGTGAAGTTACAGACAAGTTAACAGCACCACCTTTTTATGGCTTTTTCAATAAGCACACTTCTACAAAACCAACAATCAGCTTCGAATACAATTCAAAAGAATCATCCGCCTAATCAGTATTATCAGGCGCAATACTATCATCACCATTCTGCAACGACAACAACTCCTTTACCAAAAATGTTAGTTGTTAATGATCCTGTTGAGTAATGATAGCACTGATACCAATGATAATACAGTTACCTTAATAATAATTATTTAAGAAATTCAACAGAGCTGCTACTTGATGAGCAGCAGCCGCATACATCAGCACCGCCAACAATGATGATCAGTAATAATGGAACAAATTCTGGAGCATTCGGCTCGGCACAATGGTATCAAGCTGTGAACTATGTTAATATGGCAACGCAACACTTAACAAAACAGCTAACATCTTCACTCAACAATAATAATTTCAACAACATTGCTGATAACAGTAATAGCATAGACAGTAATAATATTAGTTTCAATGACAATCAATTGCCAACGTTCATAGCAACAGGTTATTATTCATTTCGAACTTTCAACACTTGTATTTATTCGTTTATGCAGGCATCCATCGCTGTTCAGTACCATTGATGTTCGATAATATTGCTATAAGCGATGTGCATTTCATGTGAAATCTGTCAGTTCTTTGATTGTTGACGCAAGCACACTCATAAACCACTTACCGTACTCTTTCAATGAATCATGCTATAGCATTGAGTCTACAGTAGTAGTCGACACCTATGATTGTTTTATTCATTCAGAGTTCAGTTCTAGGAATATCGTCATTTTTGTCATCCTTGTGATACTTGTCATTGCCAGCATTATTTCTATTGTTCATATTACCAGCAATACCGGTAGTATTAATGTCGTTGATGTTATTATTATCTGTATTATCATCGGCATCATTAATATTCTTAGTATTGTTGTTATTATTATTATCATTATTATGATAGAAGTTGTCATTTGAGCTCTAAGTAAGTAGCTGAAGAGCTGTCCTACGAAGATGTGATGTTAATCTGTTGTAGTGAATCGGTTCACTTTCTCAGTGACTAAAAATGCGGTAGATAATATAATATGTTTGTATAAGAGCGAGGAGCGGTAAAATCCCTTTGATATCAACAAATTGTATACAAATATAAGTGATATTTATGTTGATGATAGATATATGTTTAATATAATAAGTACATATCAGAAAGGCAGATAAATCATTTAGATGTTAGGATAGAAATGTTACCCACGTGTTAGAAAAGTAGATTGACTAATTATACTAAGATGGTAGTATTTGTTGAACATGGAGATTTGTTGTTATCCTATTAATGAATGTGGATGGATATGCAAGTATTTATTTAATCGTTCATTTATTTGCTTGTCTATTACTCTGTTCAGTCGCTCATATCCCTCAGTTAACAATCCCATAAGCTCCATTTATAAGTAGTCAATCTCATAATCTAATTAAGTAGCGATGGGAACGTTTTACTGATCAATTTATTGCTACCATCGATGCTACCATCATCCGTGCCTATAAGCGATGACATAAACACTCTTTGATGCAGTGTCTAGTAACGAATTAGCACTGTAATTATTATCGAAATGCTATTTGAGGATGGGATGCACGCTTTCCATGGTTATACCCATACATTCAAAAGAATGTGCATCAGAAACGGAAAGGTGGTCAAATTCGCTTCACAAATGAGCAAACTGATGCGTTGGAGCAAAAATTCAGTACGCATAAATATCTATCACCACAAGAACGCAAGAAGCTGGCGAAAAGTTTGGAACTCTCCGAAAGACAGGTGAGAAGATTGAATACGTTCCTTCGTGTGCAGGATTCATTGAGCGATACAATTTCCAATCAATCAACAAGAATCCCGCTGATTCATTGAGTAGTTGATTGGTTGATTTCAGTTGCCAATTGAATCATAAATTTACGCATTTAAATCAAAACTGAACTGTCTGTGAGCAGTAAGGTAATTGATTATTGATGAATTATGATGACGATTTATGATATACTCTTCATTCAGGCTCGTCTAAGTTCTTTTCAGGTGAAAACATGGTTCCAAAATCGTCGCGCAAAATGGCGACGGATCCGTAAAGATGGTGAAGATGATGAGGATGATATTATATTGTCATCGTCGACTGGACCTGGAGCAGTAGTAGCAGCTAGAAGTGCATCTGCAACATCTCGATCACCTAACAGTAGTGCTAACCATCTGGGGTCAACTTCACTGGCTGCAGCCACATCTGGCCCAATTCGTCGTTCATCCTCCATTCCCAACTCACCAGTGATTGTAGCTCGTCATTCAACTCACATATCTCCTTCATCATCTTCTTCATCGTTATCACATCCCTATCAACAAGCATTTCGAGCTAGATTATGATTTCCTCTTTTAACTGGTCACTTTCGAGTTAATTTCATCATGTGCGATGTGCTGAATGGGTTCATCGCATGCATCTGAATGCTTCTCAAATGATAGGATATGACATAGTGCTGATGACAATGATCATATCAATAGAACAATGGTTATGCCTAGTCTGCATTCCTTCTTATAGCTATCGTCTTTGTCGTTGTCATCGTCAACATAAAATGATTGCGTAAGTGTACATATAGAATAAACTGTTATTGTTATCATTATTATTATCATTATTAACAGTGCTCTTGTAATGTAATGCCAATAATGAATGTATTCAAACACAAAAGTGTAATAATTGTTCTGTTCTTCTCATCACTAAAAAAATTCTTTTGGTATTCCATGTGATGACTCCTTACAGGCTTGCATTTAGCCAAAGAAGTATTCAGACTGAACCCGAAGGCATCCAGTCACAATGAAATTATGATAGAATATCTGCTGGCAATTTGGGTGGTCGACAAATTTGTTTTATTCAACTTTGCAAATTCGATTGTTCATCCGAGTGGTACGAAAGCAAGACTTAGCATATCGAGGAATTTCTTTGCAGAATTTAGTGCAAGTATAAATACTTTTTAAACTTGATAAAGTGTTAAGTAGTTCTTCCGGATCAATTCAACACAATGAAACATCATATGCGCGGTAAAAAAATTATGTAGCAAACGGCCTCAAAAAATTTTTTCAGCCATCCGTCATCAACGCGAACAGCTGGATGGAATGTTTGCATCTTTTGTTGTAGGCAGTGTTTTTTGAGTGATTCTCAAAATATTGAGAAAACGAAACGCTTGCTTTTTGCATGCAACAATCATGATATGCTGATTGATGAATTGTATCAGTCTGATGATCTACTATTGCTTAATGCATTGATCACTGATTTATATGTGCTTGCAAGTTTGAACCGTCCATGAATTTATTTGCAAACTGAATCGGTGGATTAACTGCACTCATTCCAAAATAACTTATTCGAATCAAAACCAGTGGATCATGCATGAACGTTATACCATACATGATTCGATGATTGAACTTTCCAATCGAGCAGTACCAATCTGTTCTTTATCCACATGTCGAAGTAATAATTCTGATGTGTGAACGAATCTATACATTTTTCATTTGAATGTAATATATTACGAATGTTTCAGTATCCCTTTCTCTAGATGAACGCAAACGTAAATATGAATTGAGTGAATCTTAAGAGAATCTCAATAATATGGATGTTACTGGATGAGATTTGTAGACGAAAGTCAGTTTACTTAACTATTGACTCCATTACTCCTCCGGCTGCTGATGCTTTTTAAACTGTGACAGAAGTTACGATCAGCATTAGAAGCTATGATTGTCTTCATCAAGTATTGTAGTAATGAAACATACGAGTACGTATGCATAGTACATATTTTATTACGCTTTTTGAGTAGATAGCTACCGATTGTAACGTATTTTGAATAGTTACTAAACAGTCTGGCAAAAATCATCTGTGCCTAAACACACATACATGATATATGCAATATGTTAAACTTAAACTCTCACTTACTGCTGACTTCATATGATGATGTTCAGTCACGAAAATGACGATGAATATTACCACTATAGATAAACAGTGCACCTTCCAACTCGTTTGGATCGACTGGCTTGGGCTCAGCTGAAGTGATTGTGAAACACGTTGAGTTCTCGAGTCAAAGGACATGAGGTGATACGAAATAACCTGATGAAATGAGATGAAATAAGACGAGATGAGGTGCTAAAATAAGATGTTTAATCTTGAGGTGAAACTGAAGCAACGTGACGGTTATACGAAAATGTGAACAAGATGACCTGATGAATCAATGAATGAGAATTAAGCTATACAGTTTAGCTGAGGCATAATAACAAGAACATTAAGAAGTAATGAGCGAGGAGGAAGAGGGGAGTAGATCTTTAATATGTCTTCTACGTAGACAAAGAAGATGATGATCATCTCAAAACTAGAAAACTTGAATTATTTGACTTGTTCTACTAGAGCTATCGCATCCACGGATTGATGATGGGAATAAGAAAGTCTATGGAATATAGGATAATAAGATATATAAATATACGAATATGTATGTATATCCTAGTCTATAGACCAAGGATGATGATTTTACAACCTATACATACACACATCTAGCAGTTATCTCTGCAATATTACACCAGCAATTGTTCCACTGAGACGTTTGTCTTGATACTACTCAACTCAATAATGCTGCTGCTGTTGCTGCTGCTACTGCTGCTGTTGCTGCTGCTACTGCTGCTGCTGCTGTTTTGTGATTTTCGGTTCAGTTCAATCCAGTTTATCCTCATCCTTAGTCTGTTATATTCTCTTCTCACCAAATTCATATGCTCTTCGTTTCCATCGACTCACAACTGTAAACACCAAACATATATTATTTTATCAGTTCCAAGATTTACAACATTCTTTTATCATCATCAAATCATATCACTTCATTATATCTGTTATCATCCATTCATTTATTTGTTCGTTGATTGCATTTATCGCATTATTTTAGCTTCACAACTGTGACCTGCGACTCCGAGTAGTTCATTTTTAACCTGTTTGGCCTTCTTGTTTTTTGATATACTCGAAAATCTTCTCTTTCAATCCATAATACTTGTTTAAGAATTATACTGTTATTAGTATAATGCTAGGTATTTATAATAATGTTGTTACCGTTACTATTTCAATTATTGCTGGTGTATCAATAGATCACTGAACATTTATGTAGAGCAGATTGGATTGTATCAATTGTCTCATTGATTGATCAATAACTGTTAAATTTTTGTTTCGAGATGAGTTCTACCGGAGATCCCAGACCAACTTCGGATGAAAAGGAACAACAACCAGAACCGTCTGCATCAAATACCGATCAACAGGTAAATGACACATTGCTGTCGCTGGTTTCATTAACTATTATCACCATCACTAGCATATGCACCATTATTGTCATGATTTTTATCATTATTTTAAAATGAGTCAATATGCCACCGAGTAGAATCATCACTGAATCATTCATTCTCCGGAATTTGTTTTAGGTAATCGGAAAGGTTGAAGAAGAGACAGGTGAACAACATCCAAACTCGAAAACATTGCCGATAAATGATGAGTCGAATAATGCTGAGTCCATGGTTGGAATGCGAAGGCTTCTGGATGGAGCTGGGGAGATTGAGACTGAGACTGAAGCTACTGAGCCCGTGAAAGTGCGAATAGATCCACCAATTCCGAAATCGTATTCCTCGAGTCCGGATTGTGGAACTTTCTCAGCAGCTACGTAGGTGCAATGCATTATAATACTGGTTCTATATCTGAGTGATTAGCGAGTGTAATAATGCAGACGAATGACTGGTAGAATATTTTCGCATTGGAATAAAATGATGATGAAAAACGACGACGGCTATTTTACGGGAGGTCCGATAGAAACAACATGATGTGATCATTAAATAAGTTTTGAAGAAACAAGCTAAATATTTTCCGCTGTTATCAGTGCTCGTTACCCATTGCATACGCCTCGTTTCAAACGCATCGATTTTGATGACATCGCCGATGCAAGCGTAGAAGAACGTAAACCAGCATGGCGACAATGGCAAGACTCTATCAAAGATTCATATCATAAAGTTTGTTCAAGTTGAGTTCTCATTATACCAGCGGTTCTCAGAGGGGAGAAACTATCTCCTTGGGGGTAATTTTGAGGCATCATGGAGGTAATGGAAGGGCTCGGGTCGGGAACATAGTATCTAGTGCGGTTTGTATATTATGATGAAACGTCACTGCGATGGCGTTTTTTTTTTACTTGGGGAACGTACACACGGCTCACTCATGGCAACACTCTTCTTTCTCCTATTTTGTTAGCATCATTAGCTAGTCATAGCCTAAACAAAAGACAGTTTAAATGAGTCATAAGTGTTCTTTAATATATTGGCTAACATCGTCTTTCATGAGCAATCGCGACTGATTGAGTGTAACTAATATTTGGTGATGTTGTTTTGTTATGATGTGAAGCCATTGTGATGCTAGTTCATCATAACAAACTCATGCACTTGTCCTATCTCAAAACCCTCGATTGCTCGAATTTATTTTCACAGATTGATGATTTCTTACTTAGTCCTTAACTATCACTTTCATGAAACGATTGCTTTTCCGTAAATCATCTCGTAAATCATTTCTCAAATTTTTGTGGCTTCCGTTTCCATGAATTGTTGATATATTTCATTTTTTCATTCGCTGACGAATGTTTTTTCACCTGTTTTTCATTGTTAATTGCTGACATTCATAATGTTTCTGCAGTTGATAGATAAAGTTCTTAAAATACTTGCTTTATTGCAGAATATCAATTTCTTTCACGCCGTCGAGAAATTTCCGAACCGCTTTTCGGTTTAGAAATTCTTCGGTGGTGTGAAAGAAATTGATACATAGAAATAATAAATTTTTCTGACGTTATGCATATAAATAGTAAATTATCGCAACGGGAGGAGGGGGGTGGGGGCAACGGCGGTCTGCCAGACCATTGGAGGGGGTAATGGAGCACCCGAGCGTGAGAACCACTGCATCATAAATTCTATTTTGCATTATCTTCTTTAAGTCACTTCTTTAAGTCACAATTTATCAAATTTCATCCCTATGTTCTTCTGCAGGAAAACATCTGTTGAGAAAATTGCATATTTTTTGTGAGTTATCAATGAAAGAAATAAAGGGTAAAATGATTGTGCTACGAATATTTCATTGGTAATATACTATTTCACAGGTTCGAAAAGCAGCCGAACGAAGTTGTGAAGAGAATGCATTTTTGGATTCTCAACTGCAAACTGAAAGCCAACGACGAATTAATCGTCGTTCCGAGAGTCCATTCGAGGGACTTTCAGCCAAAAGTCCATCAATGCAACGACCAAGTTTTCATGCGACAAAACCCAGAACCACTGGTGTTTATGATGAAACGGGTCAGTACATCATTCACCTAACATCTAAGCGGCTTTTTATTTCCTAGTTTTTGTTTTCTGGAATCCGAATCCACTTTCATTCAAAATTTCTTGCTTTCATCTTCTGTCAACTTCATGCAATTCATTTGTTCATGCCTATGACAATAAACTGAGAAATGAGATCGAATTCTTTGTCATCGAACAACCATTTCAACAAATCTAAAACGACCAATCAAAAAACGAGCCACCGTATCGCTGATGTGCATCAACATACATCGCCCTGCAAGGCACGCATCAATACCGTATTCTGAAAGTTTTTGATCAATTGACGTCGTTTATGATTCTGCCGCTCCTTCTTCAGTTTCAGCACTTTCAGGCCCTTATGCGGCACCTGCGGTTCAAAGTTCACAAGGTATTGAACTAAAATACGGCAAAAAGGCAGACGATATTGAGGCGCGCCTATTAAAATCGTCCATTTTGCCTGCATCAATGAAAACCGTAACGCTGAAAGAGTTTCGCAAAGGACCAGCTCCAGCTGTTGGAAGTGCTTCTGAAGCGTTTGCTGACGAAACTGACTATCAGGTTTAAGATCGCATTCAATTAATCTTTCGTCATAGATCCATCACTTAGAGCAGAAATTAATCAGACGCTCATCAGTGATCGCTTAAAAGTTCTTTTAGGATTATTTGTTTGATGCAGCTCAACGATCTTCTTTTGCAGGCCTTTATGCCACGACCCTACTATAGTCGTCCGAATCGCGATGATCCAGATTATTTTGATTTCGATCTGCAGCATTCAGTTGACATGTTTAAACGACCTGAGGGAAAATATGTACCACGAGGGTAGCGTATTTTGAATTTATACTTTATTGTGGTGTTGCTCAGTTTTATTTTTTTTTTTGATTGTTGTCTTGGTATTATTATCGGTATCATTTTTACCATTGCTGTTATTATTTTTATTGTTATTATTGTCATTGCTATTATTATCATTGTTATTATTATTGCTGCTATTATTATTATTGCTCTTATTATTATTTTATTATTATTATCGTTATTACTATTATTATTATCCTTATTATTATCATTGCTGGATTTCCATAGTTCTGTCTCCGGACTCAAACTTACAAGGACATAACAAATTTCGTTCAGGCCTCAACGATGGGAAGAAGAAGTTCTTGGTGATGCAAAAACGAAAGGTGCTGCTCCGGTTTCTGGTTACATGTTCACAAAGGTTGCTTTAATGATAGTAGTTTCAAATGAATAGCAAATAAATGTCAATTTCAAAATGATAAATGCTCCTTAAAGGGTGATACCGATTGGCGTACCAGTGGAACATCGTATTTGAGTGCTGCTCTGAGAACACCGTCCTACTGGGAACAGCGGTTTAGTTCAATTGGTCGTGAGGTGCGTGAAAGTAATCCAATTTCATTGGATAGTCTTGCAAGGTTAGTGATATTCCTGCAGTTTATAATTATTAAGATATTACTCAGTGATGCATTCAGTATCCACCTTGAATGTGATCGTTTTTAGTTCATGACTCATTTTCTGGACTGATTTTTTGGAGTGACCTATCTTGCTGTTGCTCCGTGAATCGAAAAGCATATGATTATTATCGTAAATAATGGACTATACTAAATACTTCACACGAAACTGAATCAGTCACAGAAGTAGTATATAGTCATTGATCTTCTGTTGAAGTTATTTTCAACAAAGAGTGACCTATCTCGTTCAGAAATAAACCTATCACATCTCGATGGACTGAGTATCGCGATCCTGAACTCGAAGATCTTACTGATAGCGATGACGAATGATGTGTGGCCGTGTGTTTATTCGTTTGCATCGTAAACAACGGCTATGTTGAAATGATTACAATAAGTAGTGATATCATGTCCGTGATAATTATTTATAAAAACTGCATCTTTCGGCTCTCATCAAATCAGAAAGCGTTCATTCTTGATTAATCATTTCTTCGCTTGAGACCTTCTTTCCGAATTTTTGCTTCTTCGTTTCGCTGTTGCTGAGATATGTCTAGTCATAATGTATAATGAGAATACGTCAGTTCATTGTCTTTTTTTTTGCTATTTTTCATTGATTTCCACAGATTCAAGTGATAACACAAATAATAATAGGAATGATGACAGTTATAGTTGTTGTTATTAATATTGCTTTCCTTATCGAGTTGCCCAATTTTATCATATTACTAGCACAGCTTTTTGAGTGTTTTGTCAAAAATAATATAGATTGAGATGATGTGATGAATGCATATCAGATTTGATTTTCTCAAACTTGAGTATTCATTTATTTTAGTATTTGTATGAATCACTCATTACGTTTGTATCGTTAATGTTCCCTTTCATATGACTATTTATTTGTTATGCATTGTATTACACTTGATCACTGTCAATATTATCATCATTATAATAAGTATAAAATTATTATTGTCACTTCTTTTTAATTATTAGTATTGTTATTATTATTGCGACTATTATTACTGCTGTTATCATCGTTTATTATTATTCCTATTATTATCATAGAAATTATTATTTTTATTATTACTATTACTATTATTATTATTATTATTATTATTATTATTA